CTGTCTCTCCAGCTTAGAGACAAGGATGTTGTGCGAGACACTGTCGAACACTTTGCACAAGTCTAGATAGATGACATCGGTTGCCTGTCCTTTATTCACTGAGCCTGTGAACACATCGTAGAAGGCCACCAAATTTGTCTGGCACAATTTGCTCTTGGTGAAGCCATGTTGGCTGTCGCCAATCTACTCCTTGTTTTCCATGTGCCTCGGCATGGTTTCCAGGAGGATCTGCTCCATGATCTTGCCAGGCACAGGGGTGAGACTGACTGGCCTGTAGTTCCTTGGATCCTCCTGTTTTCCTTTTTTTAAAAAGGGGGTTGTTTCCCCTTTTTCAGTCAATGGGAATTTCACCAGACTGCCACGACTTCTTGAATAAGATGGATAGAGGTTTGGCAACCTCATCCGCTAGTTCCTTCAGGACCCGTGGATGTATTCCATCAGGTCCCGTGGACTTGTGCACCTTCAGGTTTCTTAGGTGCTCTCGAACCTGATTCTCTCTAACCATGGGCTGTTCTCTATTCTCCCAGTCCCTGCCCTTGTCTCCCATGACTTGGGGAGGGGGGGGCTTGCACCCTTGACAGTGAAGACCGAGGCAAAAAAGTCTTTGAGCGCCTCAACCTTCTCCATATCCTGGGAAACCAGCTCTCCCATTTCCTTCCGCAGAGGGCCCACATTTTCCCTCTTCTTCCTTTTATCCCCTATGCGCCTACAGAAGCCCTTCTTGTTGCCCTTGATGTCCTTGGCCAGGTTTAATTCTGTCAGAGCTTCAGCTTTCCTAACCTGATCCCTAACTTCTCAGACAATTTGTGTGTAATCGTCCCAGACTACCTGTCCCTTCTTCCACCCACTGTAGGCTTCCTTTTTGTTCCTTAGTTTCTCCAGGAGATGCTTGTTCGTCCATGCAGACCTTCTGGCATTTTTACCCGACTTCCTCTTCATTGGGATGCATTGTTCCTGAGCTTGGAGGAGACCTGGGCACGCACACGTCTCTTACTCCTCTTGTTTCGTTCCCATGCTCCATGGGTTCCCATAGAGGCATTTAAGATGAGCACCTGATGCAGTTGGCTTGCTGACTGGAGCAGCTGGAATTCCCTTGTCTTGCTCGCCAGGTGCTCTCCTGGTGCCCTGTGATCCTTCTCCAAGCTCTGGGCATCTGTTAGTGGCACTGGCCTCCAACTGGCAGGACCGGGATGAGCTGAGGTTCCCCTCCCCTGGAAGCTTTAGTTTAAAGCCCTCTTCACCAGCTTGGCAATCCTTTGCCTGAAGACGGTCTTTCCCTTTTCAGTCTAATTTACCCCATCAGCTGCCAGCAGACCGGGTTTCTCAGAGCGTGTCCCACGGTCTAGGTAGCCAAAGCCCTGGCTGTGGCACCAGCCCTGCAGCCAACTGTTGATTTGTCAGATTCGACTGGCCCTTTCAAAGCCCTTATCTCTGACTGGGAGGATTGATGAAAATATTACTTGGGTACCAGAGCCTCGTCCTGCCGCACCCAGGGCTCTGTAATCCTTTCTGATGGTCCTCAGACTGCTCCTGGCCGCATGACTGGTGCCCAGTGAAACGACATCAGTGACTAATAGTCAGTGGATCGTAAGAGACTTCGTAGGCTCTGAGCGGTATCCTTTACACGGGCCCCCAGGAAGCAGCACACCTCTGGAGAGGGTGCATCAGGTCAGCAGATGGGTGCCTCCGTACCCCTCCGAAGAGACTCACCTACTACTATCCCCCGTCGCTTTTTCTCGGTCGCGCTGGTTGCATACGGGGAGCAGATGGGGCTACCTCGTTCTCCCCCAGCGTCTCTCCTGACTTGACGGGTTTTTCCTCTTTCATTTTCAAAGCGCTGAAGTGGTTCTGCAAGGGCACCTTGGGCTTCAGGGGGGATGGCTCTTCCTCCCGCTGATCTAACGGAGTTACCTGTGAGGACTCCGACACCGTCTTGTGAACACTAAGAGAACACTGAAGGTAATAGGGGTAGTATTACTCATCAGCAGATAGTAATCTGCTGATACTATACGTATGTATATAGTATCTGCTGATACTATATGTACAGTAGACGTTATGAAGTGACCAGTTTACATTCTTGCAGATTGTTTGATCTTTTCTTTTTGAAATCTCTTAACTAAACTTTGCACTGTCAGTTGAGCTATACTTGATAACGTGTATTAGGTTAACATTGTGTGTTGGAAGCTTTTGACCTGGTCTTTTTCCTTCTTAATTTGTGTGTGTGTGCGTGTGTGTGCGTTGGGGTTTGACCTGAAAAGACTATTCATAGAGAAGGTTTCATGTCTGCGGAGAAGGATCGTAATAATTAATAGCACAGGATTCCCCATCGTTAAATTCAGGTAGTAAATGCACAGTTAGTAGAGAGTAAATATTCAGTGGACCAAGGGGGGGGTTTGGCTAAGCTGTCACAGCAGTACAAAACCAAAACAAAATAGTTATATCTCTAAATATTTTACTGAAGACGAACTCCTAACAGCCCCACACACGACATTTCCACTCTGCAAAAAGCTTTTTCACGCTATAAAATACCTAATACTGTTTGTAAGTTGGTTGTTTTACACAAAGGACAGTGAGTTTAGGACCATGCTAAGTGCATCTGGGGGATTCTAATTTCTGCCTTGTATTTGTTACACTTTTGCTTAATCCTAAGAATTCACATGGAAGCAGTGTCAAGTGAGGTGCATTAAAAGCCTCTTCCCATTTTTCCAGACAAACAACAGACAAAGCAAACCCAACAAAACAGTACTTATATCACGTCGCCCCGATAATGCTATCAATTAGTATAAATGAGCCTTGCCGTGTTGGGGTTTTTTTTATGCCTTTTGCCAGTGGGGGGGGAGAGTCCGTGGTACTACTGAACCTCAGCTTCTCTGAAGCTGAACACCAAGCTAGTGAGAACAGTGTTCACCTGAGACTTGAGGTTTTTGATTCTGGCATTTAAATCGTTGCAGCAGTGTGCTCAAACACATGGCTCTTTATTGGTTATTTTCTCTTGGGAGAAATTTAGCAGACTGTGAGCCCCTGTGCTTTCTGGACAATCCTCAGATATTAGAGGGAACAGGGACGGCAAGATCCAGATTCTGAAAAATTATTCAGTTATGGTGTGTTTTATCGTCAGTGGTAAATTCACTGACTGTATATTGGAAGCAGCAGTTTACCAGTGACGATCCTGCCCGTGACGCCGGTTTTCTGTCGTGCATCTGACTTGGGGCTTACTTCACTGACGATAGGTCAGGTAAGTGCAAACACCCCTTCAAAGGCAAATGCCTTGAAGAGTAGGTCCCCCTTGCTACCAAAATCGACGCAGGTGGATTTCTAGCCTAGGTGCCTGTCAAGTTCACCCACTAGTCAGATTGCTAAAGCAACTCCCTCTGCAACTCCAGCAATTCCCACTGCAGGAAGGTAAATCGGTTTCGCGCTTGGAAAAGTCAAGC